GTGGATAGCTTATTGGCCTGAGGATTGAAAGGTCCCAGGTTCGATTCCAGTCAAGTGCACATGCTCAGGTTGTGGTCAATCCTTAGTAGGGGGCATGTGGGAGACAATCAAATCAATGATTTTATCATTATTGATGTTTCTTTCTCTCCCTATCACTCTCTGAAATCAATAAAAATTAAAAAAGAAATTAAAACCTACATTTTGGAATTTATGTGTGTGTGTTTTTAAGTTTTAATCTAGTTTAAATTTTCTTTTAAACTTTTTCAACTTTGTAACTGAGGATATTTTTTAAATTTATGAAAGTTTTTTTTTTCATCTTAAAAGATAAACTAGCTTAAGAACTTTGGCTTGACTATTCAATTTGATAATGCAGTTGAAAAAAATAATCTAATAGGATATTGGCCTTAAAGACTTTCAAAGTCAGAATCTAAATATAAATTTATTTTCAGTTCTCTGCTATTAAAATAACATAGACTGAGTCTCAAAATTAGGTAATAACTCTTACTTTTTTAAAACATTGTGACATGGCAATTTCTGGAATCAAGTAAAATATGAAAGGAAATAATTAAAAATTAAAAAACCTCATAGACACAGACAACAGCATGGTGATTGCCAGAGGGAAAGAGGATGGGGGAAAGTAGAAGAGGGTAAGGAGGCGATAGAAGATGATAAAAGGAGACTTAACTTGAGGTGGTGAACACACAATATTAATATACAGATGATGTATTATAGAATTGTACTCCTAAAACCTATATAATTTCATTAACCAATGTCATCCCAATAAATTCAATACAAATAAATAAAAATTAAAAAATTGAACCCAATGTGATGCAAGAATTTAGTATTATATATTCAAATACATTTTCCATGGTCATTAATAGAACTTACATAGAAATCATAAGCCCTTTTAGTGACCATGGATACTGCACATATGTTTATTCTTTGTCATCATGAATACTAATTATGTATACATGTACAGTGCAGCTTTAATCACCTCCTATGTAAAAAAGAAAAGTCCCTCTGTCATCTCAAACCTGCAAGCAAGTGTAATGTAATGGGTCACCTGATTTAAAACATTTAGTATTTAAATTTAGCTGAGGTTTATGAGACTAGAAATTAATTTAAATAGCCTTTTTACTAAGGAACCATAGTGGCAACAATCTTCCATAGCCACCACCTGGTTAGCAGTGGATTCTGTCACAAGCTTATACTTGCTACCCTGCTTTGTTGCTGTACATACAGCATGTGTGTGTCTGTGGAAACATTTTTGGAGAATAGGCTCACAAGACAAAATGAATGTGGAGTCATGTTGATATGAATGAAATCCTTGGCATTACTTAAAGGTGTATATCTCTATATGCCTAGAATATACTCCAATGTCATATTTCTATGATGCATAGTCTTTCATATAATTTATTTCTAAAATTATAATAGCTTCTTAGAATTGATAGTGTATTATAGTTCATTTAGTTGTATTTTTTTTCTAATGCTACACACAAAAAATATTGCAAATAACAATAGATCGAGTCTTGGACTCAATAAATTACAATGTATAGATTAGAGCACATAAGCTCAGAAGGTGCCTTAGTAATGTTACACCAATTCCTTAAGGGAATTGAAATTTAAGGGTCAATTCATGTGCTAAAGACTCAGATTTTGGTGACAAAACAAGTACAGTCTATTGATTAGCTTTTCAAATACTTTGACCTATCATATGTGAATCATCAGATCATAAATTTGTAAAATCAATGTAAATCACTTTTAAGACATTTCTTTTGTAACATTTGAGTAAATATTCATGTAAATTAAAAAGCATAATGAAGTATTGAGAGTAAATTGTAACTATGAGCAAAATGTACACAAGACCATATGTTGAATGATATTAGGTCTAGTAATAATTAATGTTGTTTTCTAATACTTTTTAAAATCGAATTTATTTAAACAATACAACAAAATTTAATCAACAATATAGTTGTCGTTTTCTACTACTTGTGCCCAATGCTCAGGAAGCATTTTAATCCCTCTGTTGTAAAATTCTTGTGATTTTGATGCAAAAAATTCGGTCAATGCATTTTTGAGGCATTCTTCATTATTAAATTTTTTTCCAAGAAGAAAGTTTTGCAAAGAACAAAACAAATGGTAATCGGAAGGGGCAATATCAGGAGAATATGCAGGTTGAGGGAAAACTTCCCATTCCAACTGGCGCAGTTTTTCAGCAGTGATTCTTGGAGTATGCGGTCCTGCGTTATCATGGTGAAGAATTACGCCCTTCCGATTAATCAGCGTGGGTTCTTTTTCTCTTAAAGCTTGGGCTAACCTTTCCAATTGGGCACTATACACTGCACTTGTAATGGTTTGGTTAGATGGTAAAAGTTCATAATGAAGAATTCCTTTAAAATTCCACCAAACACACAACATCACTTTTTTCGCATGCAAGTCAGGTTTTGGCGTGGGCTGCGGAGCCTCATTTTTGTCCAACCATTGAGGCCGCCTTTTCAAATTAACATACAGCACCCATTTTTCATCTCCGGTAACAATTTGCTCTAAAAACGGCAAACGGTTTTGACGAGAGAGGAGCGAACTGCAAATTGTGACTCTTTGATTATGGTTGTTGTCGGTCAACTCATGAGGAACCCATTTTCCAAACTTTTGGACTTTGCCAAGTGCACGCAATTGATTGGAAATTGTTTTTTTGTGAACAATTTAAAGTTGTCGCAAGCTCTTGTTGGGTAATTTGAGGATTTTGCACCAAAAGAGCTTGAAGAGCTTCTTGATCAAAATTGGACACACGGCCTCGACCACTCTTGTCATCTAACGAAAAATTTCCCTCGCGAAATTTCTCAAACCAATGCTGGCATTTTCTGGCGCTAACTGCATCTTGACCAAGAGCACTACAGATGTTTTTGCAGCCTCACTTGCTTTTCTTCCTAATTGGAACTCGTAAAGCATGCAGTGCCGAATATGCTCTTCATCCGACATCTTCTTAGCCCTAGTTTTGCAACAAAAACCAATCCAAACACAAACTTTTTCAAGCAAAACTTGTTAATTGCACTTCACACGTTCTGTAGATACCACGTGTTTGAAGGTTATGTCAACACAAGTCAACGCTAAGCAAGATTTTAAATGAATGTTTAAAAACGACATTAATTATTACTAGACCTGATATATATCATTTTTATAAACAAATAAATCTAAAATACTTTCAAAACTAAAATTTAGCCTAATCCATATAGTACCTTTTTCAATTGTTCATTTTCAGTGTTAATGTGGGGGGGGGGGGGGAAGTAGTCAAACGCTATTTTTTTAACCACATGTTAGATTCAAAATTAAGAAGGCATATTTTAATGGCAGCTGGTTTAAAAGAACTTGACATGAGTGCAGTAACAGTTTGGAAAATGTGTCTATGCTTAGTTTTGCTTCCAAATTTGGACTTTGAAACTTTTTGTCAGTCTCAGAAATAAATAAGAAGCTGTGCAGATAATTAAACATTTGCCTTGGGGGATTTATCTGCAGTTAATTAAAACCATACACTTTGTGTGGATACTTGCTTCACTGGTTATTAAATTTGAATCATATGTTAACTACCCAGTTTTGTCACTTGTCCATCAAATGTTTCTTGTGGAAGGTTCAAGAAACAAAATTTCTCATAATATTCCAAGCTACATTGTTTAAAGCTATCTCCTAGTATGGAGAGGGATAGAGAAAAAAGAGAAAAGAGAAAAAAAAGATGATTTATTTTAGATTCCACCTAAATCAGCTCTATTAGGGCTGAGCAATATGAGCTCAGGAGAGATCCCATTTGTAAGTTTTAGAGGTGCCATTCTACCATCTCAGATTTCTTCATGACCCTGTGCATACAAAACGAACCCATGATTTTCTATCTATATTTTTGTATTACTACCCTTTTGGCTGCATGGAGATTAGACTGTACCCTCTACGAGGGCAGAAATTTGGTATTTTGTTTACTGTAGACTCCCTGGAATCAAGAACAGTGTCTGGCATAGAACTGACCCTTAAAGATTTGTAGAATAAATGAAAGATCTATTTTCTATTTCCCTGCTGAACTATTCACATGACTATTCACATGTTCTTTATGGTAGTTTTTTTTTTTGTTTGTTTGTTTTTTGTTTTGGTTTTTTTTTTAAGGAGCCTCAGAGTTCTCAAATATCTAACAAGGAACACTTTCTAGCTTTGCAAGAGTCCACAGTCATTGGAAACCTTTTAGTCATTGTCAAGTCTATCATATGACCAAAAAAGAACTTATGCTGATTGCAGGTTTAAATGTGCAATGAAGGATGAGAATAAAATCTCCCAGAACAGGAGGATTATATCCCCCTTTGCCATTGTTCTACTGTTTGTTTTTTTCTCAGTTCCTGAGAAAGATGAATTAAATTACCACTGGTTTTCAAATGTCCACGTTTGGCTTACTAACTTAAGACCCCCAAATATGAACAGCTACAGTAATGGAAGCATTAAAATTATATATTTTAAAAATTTCTCTATTTTGTTGTCTTTTTGTATTCTTTTGCACAATTCTGAAACTTTCACTGATGTATAATGCCTGCTTATATTTTAATCCTGAAAATATAATAGCAGAATATAGATAGATATAGATATAGATATAGATATAGATATAGATATAGATATAGATATAGATATAGACAGACATAGACATAGACATAGATATAGACATAGACATAGACATAGACATAGATCATATAGATATAGATATAGATATAGATATAGATATAGATATAGATATAGATATTTACTTTGCAAACTTTGTAGAATAAATGAAAAACCTATTTTCATTTATTCAGATATATCATGTGGAATTTTCAGGAAATTGTATTTATTGGTAAAAATATGTATTTTAGTGGTATTTAAAAAATAAGTTCTATCTCCCAAATATAAATCTATCATAATAGTGCTGGAAGTTGCTCTTCTCTTTAATTTCATTAAAAATGCTGACTAGAGGTTTTATTTGTTTATTGTGTCAGATTCTGCAAAAGATAACAATATTGCAAAAGGCAGTGAAGTAACAGACCATTCAGTGTGTGACCAAGATCACCCCAATGGTAAGTAATGAGGTCCTTTTTCAAGTTGTTGTTGTTTCTGCTATAGAATATTACATTTTAGAAACTCAGATTTTAGTTTTCTGGGAAAAAATGGAATCTGATAGTATTTTAATAGAGCTGAATATCATATGATTAGTAGTGACCACATTTAGAAGAAGCATTTGCTCTCCGTAATCCTCACCACTCATTACATTTGTGCAAGTCTGCCTTTATTTATTTCTTTTTACTGCCTGAACTCTACTTTCATTGTGTTTACAACTACTGATATTAGGATATAATATCAATTAGAATAAATGTGAGACACATAGAAAATAGATCCAGGATATTAGAGCTACACATCCTTGGAATACCAGGAAGAGAGACAGAACAAACAGAAATGAAAAAATAACAAAACAAAAAAAAAGTTTTCTTAAACCAGTTCCTCTATCCAAAACACAAAAGTACTATATTATATTTATGGGGAAAGATAATGAAAACAGAAAGGAGAACAGAAACCTACAAGGGATTATGGAATTTATGGAGATCAATGATAAAGAAAAGCTTTTAAAGCAAATGGGAAAGTCAAAATCAGATTAAAAACTAATCATCAAAATCAGATTACCCTTAGCTTTCTTCTTCCACAACTCTAAACAGGAGAAGAAAATGGAGTAACATTTTCAGAGCTCTAAATAACACAGTTTCTATATTTAGTGAAATTATTATTCATGCATGTAGTCAAGAGTAATATTTTCTCAGTAATATAAAGATTAAGAAAACATACCACCCAAGTATTCCTTCTGAATAAACTAACAGGGGACTGTGCAAAACAATAAATATAGAAAGAAAAGAAAACTTCAAGCTTGAGAAAGGTACAGTTAAGAATGGCTGAATGATAAGAGACTCGTTATATGTATGAAAATGTTGCAGTAATTATTTCAAATTAGTATCAAATATCTTATTCAAAAGTTTGCTTTTACCTTTGAAAATTATAGTATAGGGTGTTTTGTTTTTTATAATGGCAAACTTGGAGACACTGCTCTTAGTAATAAAACTTTAAATAAATTAGACCATTACTCCATTATTAAGATGACTAGACATCCCGCTTTTGGCGGGACAGTCTCGATTTTTAACAACTTGTCCAGCGGCGTTTTAAAAAAGTCCCGATTCTTTCCAAAAATCGGGACTTTTTTTAAAACGCCATAGGACGTGGGACAAATTTTAAAAATTGGGACATCTGGCCGCCTTACCATTTTTCTCACTGATGACAACAAGACAACCTAAAAAAAAACAAAAAACCATATATGTGTATATGTCTCAAGAGAGACAGAGACAGAAAGCAAGCGTCAAAGGCATCAGAGAACTTAAGAGATAGAGCATTGTCTGGCTGGCTTATAGGAGAAAATGCATATCCATTGATGTAAGTTCAGAATTTGAAACTGTTTTTACCTTAAGGTATTTGCTAATTCTTCAAAAGCTATCGTGAGCCACATTGCTTAGAAGTATAAGGGGCTCAGGTAAACCCCCTGTTTCTTGGGTTGAAACCCCAAAGCTATCTACCCTATTAGGAAGAATGAACTAGCAGTAGGTCAGCCTTTTGAAAGACTGCTAATCAGCTTTAAATCATCTCAATACCTCAATTAAATTAAAAACAACCCAGATTGCTAGTTCCTCTGGGCACCTAAGAAAAGCAAATGTAAAACATTTACTAGATGAAAATTGGAGTGCTATAAGGTTTAAATAAGTATCATAAGCAATTTGCTAAATATAATGGTCTGCACACATAAGAAATAGCTAGAATAAATGAGAAAACAAGGTAATATGAAAATCAAACAAATATTTAACAGTGGAATGGCAAGCCAATAGGGCTGAAAATATTAGAATTATAAACAAAAATTATAAAACACAAAAGCTATGTATAAAGAAATAAAGATAAGATTGAAAAATTTATCTGAGAACTGAAAATTCAAAACAGAAAAAAGAGGAAAAGAAATCTAAAAGTAGAAGATGCCACAACTGAAATGAAGAATTCAATGAATGGATTTGTGGTTCAGTAGCATATTAGATACAGATGAATAAAAAATTGTGAACTTGAAGTTATGTCATATACAGTATATCCAAAAATATATATCCAAAAGAGAAATACAGAATGGCAAACACTACAGAAAAGGAAAAGACATGAAGGATAAAATGACAGTCTGTCGCAGAAAATTTGGCAGAAGCAATATTTAAAGAAATTCTGATGAGATTTTTTTAACATACTATTGTATTAAAGAATATCAAGCCATGTGTTTCAAAAGTCCTTTGAACTCAAAGCAAAATAAATTCACAACTAGGCCCATCATAGCATAACTATTAAAAACCAAAGATAAACAGAACATCCAAAAAAGCAATCTTAAACAATTAAACAGATAAGTTTTCAATAGATATGATGAAAATAAAAAGATAATGCAAAAGAAAATTGCTAACCAAAAATTCTAAACCCAGACAAACTATATGTTTCAAGAATAAAAGGTTAAACATGTTTCAGACCAATAAAAGTTCATCACTGGAGAAATTCTGATGTTCTTAAGGTAGGATGATACCAATTCCAGTTAGAAGGTCAAAGATGAAGGAAGGAGTTTCCTTAATCAATAAAGAAATTCCAATAAATAAATAAATAAATAAATAAATAAATTTTAAAAAGCAAGGTCAATGGTAATCCTACCTAATAAAAGAGTAATACCGTATTTTCTGGAGTATAAGATGACCCCCTAATTTTACAGTTAAAACGTAGGTTTAGGCCTATATTCGCTATATAAGACTACCCCCCACTTCAAAGAAAAGGCTTACTTTGCCGTCAAGATCTGCAGGTAATTTTTATGCAATTTTGGTCTTTTGCCCCCAATTTTTGGTTGACTTTTTTCGTTTCAAAAGTCGTCTTATAAGCTGGAAAATACGGTATGCAAATTGACTGTACCTTCACTATGTCCAAGCCACACCCACCAGCCAATCAGGGTGAATATGCAAATTAACCCAACCAATATGGAGGTTAATTTGCATAACAAGACAGCATAGAAAGAATCCAAGTGCTGCAGAAGGGAGCTAAGCTGCCGGAAAAGCAAGCAAGTGGGACAAGGGAGAAAGAAGGGAAGTAGGTGAGGTGGGGAGAGCTCAGCAGGAAGCCCTATTGCAGGAATCTTCCTGTAATGGACTACAAGTTATTAAATAAGTCTAAAAGTCTAAATGAATATTGATATCACAAATCAATGATAATTATAATAATAGCAATGTATTGTGGGAATTATGATATACTTAAAGTATAATTGAAAGATGAAAATTTAAAAAGATATATCACAAATTAAAATACACTACAATAATAGCATGTATAATTAATTCTGCACATGGTGTTCTAGAGAATGAAAACACTAACATTAAAACATAAAATCTATATTATAACATAAATTAGGAAATGAGGTGAGTCCTGTGATGTCCCAGATCAATGCTGGAAGAGACTTTCCAAACCAAAATGCAGACAGGAGGAACTCAGGCAGAGCCCAACAGCCTTTTGAGTTCAGAAGATAGAGCAAAAATTCCTAGGAGGCCAAAGTATCTAGTATAATATTTTCAGGGCTGAGACTGGAGAAAGAGTTCCACAGAGGGAACTTTTTAGAGATCTACAAAGGGAATTCCTCAAGTCTTTGGCTGAGTACTGATCAGTGCATTCATGATTGTAAATTACTAGTGCATGCATGAGAGGCTGGATAAAGAACACTAAAGGATTTTAGAGCATGATATCTGAAGTTTCCAGAGGGCTGGGAGAAATTTCTGCTCCAGCCATATTGGAAAACATAAAAATTCATGGAAAGCTTAGAAGGACTTTGCCTCAGCAGTGGACCAAAACCAGCAATATATTAAGTGCTACTCTTGTCCTTCCCTGATTTAGCTTAAAAGCAATATTTTGAAAAGTTTCTGAATAACTTAACTGATCCCAGAATGAAATTTAAAAATATTTATAGAAATCTAAATATATCTCATACCCATCAGAGTGATAGACAAAATTACTGGGCATAAAAAAAAGTATTGCAAGACAAATCTCCATGCATCTCTTCCATTTTTTACATTTTACAGAAAGTGGTTGCCTTTGTTTGGCCAACCTTTTTCAGGATGGGTGAATAGTGAACAGTCTTGGAAGACAGAAAACTGTCTCCCTCTGGAACAAACAACAGGCTCGCTTACAGCCTTTGAAGATAAGAATAGTGTAACACCCCCAAGGGACAGACATGCTCACTGTCCATTCCAAAATAGTCAGATTATCTAAGGTCAAGTGTATTCTCCATAATACAACCCACAGAGTGTGCAATATCACTTGGTCACCCAATGGGCACTGAGGCTCAGAAAACAAGTGCAGGTAGAATAATAAGTCATTCTTCATCTCTGGCCTGGGAGTCTGTCTTCTGGCAGCAGCCATGGAATTGTGACTAACTAACTTATTAAGTGCAAGTGAGGTAAAATTTCAGACCCTTCCCAGTTCTTGAAAAGAAGCAGAAAATTATGACCAATAGAAGAAATCAATTGATAGAAACCAATCCAAATGGCACACATTGAGTAATAATATGAATGGTCATGCTGCAAAAATATTATTGTACAGGTATTTAACAATTTCCAAAAGATAAAATAAGGATTTTCCATGTTAACTAGAGACATGGCAGATATAAAAATATCTAAATGTAATTTCTAGAGATTAAAAATAGTGGCTGAGATAAAAATCTACTTAATAGGAATCATGGCAGATTAGATACTGCAAAAGAAAAGATTAGTGAATTTGAAACTATAGCAATAGAAACTATTCAAATTAAAATAGAGAATAGTCCAGCCAGTGTGGCTCCTTGGTTGAGAATTGACCTATGAACTAGGAGGTTACAGTTTGATTCCAATCAGGGCACAATGCCTGGATTGTGGGCTCAATCCCCAAGTGGGGGGCATGCAGGAGGCATACGTTTAAGAATAATTTGAAAGTTTTTATGATACTCACAAATAGAATT